GACCGTTTAATGATGGGAATTTGCTGTTTTTAACTGAACTTGGGGAATTGGCTGTTTTTAACTGAATGTCTGGAATCGGCTGCTTTTTAAATGAATGTGTGAAATTTGCTGTTTTGAACTGATTGTGTGAAATTGGTTGTTTTTAACAGAACGTAAGGGAATTTACTGTTTTTAACTGAATGTGGGAAACAGGTTGTTTTTAACTGAACGTAAGGGAATTTGCTCATTTTAACTGAATGTTCGGAATTGGCTGTTTTTATCTGAATGTTTGGAATTTGGTGTTTTTATCTGAATGCGGGAATTGGCTGTTTCAACTGAACGTTGGGAATTTGCTTTTTTTATCTGAATGTGGAAATTTGGTGTTTTTATCTGAATGTTGGTAATTTACTGTTTTTATTTGAATGTTGGGAATTTACAGTTTTTATCTGAATGCTGGGAATTTTCTGTTTTCAACTGAATGTTGTTAAATCACTGTTTTTATCTGAACGTAAGGGAATTTACTGTTTATAACTGAATGTTGGGAATTTGGTGTTTTTATCTGAATGTAGGAATTGGCTCTTTTCAACTGAATTTTGGGAATTGGCGGTTTTTATCTGAATGTTGGGAATTTACTGTTTTTATCTGAATGTTGGGAATTGGCTGTTTTCAACTGAATGTTGGGAATTTGCTGTATTTATCTGATTGTTGGGAGTTTACTGTTTTCAGCTGAATGTTGGAAATTGGCTGTTTATATCTGAATGTTTGGAATTTACTGTTTTTATCTGAATGTTGGGAACAAGCTGCTTTTATCTTAATGTTGGGAATTGGCTGTTTTTATCTGAATGTTGGGAATTTACTGTTTTTTATCTGAATGTTGGTAATTTACTGATTTTTATCTGAACGTAAGGGAATTTACTGTTTTGATGTGAATGTTTGGAATTGGCTGTTTTTATCTGAATGTTTGAAATTGGCATTTTTTATCTGAATGTTGTTATTTTACTGTTTTCAACTGAACTTAAGAGAATTTGCTGTTTTTATCTGAATGTTGTCAATTTGCTGTTCTCACGTGAATATTGGGAATTTGCTGTTTTTATCTGAATGTTGTTAATTTACTGTTATTATCTGAATGTTGGGAATTTACCAAGTGTATCTAAATGTTGGAAATTTGCTGTTTTTATCCGAATGTTGGACATTGGCTGTTTTTATCTGAACGTAAGGGAATTTACTGTTTTTATCTGAACATTGGGAATTGGCGGTTTTTATCTGAATGTTGGGAATTTACTGTTTCTATCTGAATGTTGGGAATGTACTGTTTTTATCTGAACGAAAGGGAATTTACTGTTTATAACTGAATGTTGGGAATTGGTGTTTTTATCTGAATGTAGGAATTTGCTCTTTTCAACTGTATTTTGGGAATTGGCGGTTTTTATCTGAATGTTGGGAATTTACTGTTTTTATCTGAATGTTCGGAATTGGCTGTTTTTATCTGAATGTTGGGAATTTGATTTTTTTATCTGAATGTGTGGAATTTGCTGTTTTTATCTGAATATTGGGTATTTGCTGTTTTGATCTGAATATTGGGAATTGGCTGTTTTTATCTGAATGTTGGGAATTTACTGTGTTTATCTAAATGTGTGGAATTGGCTGTTTTTATCTGAATGTGGGAATTTGCTGTTTTGATCTGAATATTGGGAATTTACTGTTTTTATCTGAAAGTAAGGGAATTTACTGTTGCTATCTGAATGTTGGGAATTGGCTGTTTTTATCTGAACGTAAGGGAATTTACTGTTGTTATCTGAATGTTGGGAATTGGCTGTTTTTATCTGTATGTTGGGAATTTACTGATTTTATCTGAATTTCGGGAATTTACTGTTTTCAACTAAATGTTGGGAACTTGGTGTTTTAATCTGAATGTTGGGAATGTAGTTTTTATCTGAATGTTGAGAATTTGCTTTTTTCAACTGAATGTTGGGAATTTGCTGTTTTTATCTGAATGTATGGAATTTGCTATTTTTATCTGAATGCTTGTCATTGGCTGTTTCTAAATGAATGTTGTACATTTGCTGTTTTTAACTGAATGTGATGAATTTACGAGTTTAACGGAACGTCGGGAATTTATAAGTTATGACGGGTTTTGGGCAATTTGCTGTCATTGTAAGTGAATAAAATTTAATGTTGCATTGGCATTATCTGATTTAAAACACTTCATCAAAACGTCAGTTGTGCATTAAAGCAATTTTGATATATATTTTTGGACTGTAATACAACAGGCTGTTGTCGGACACTGACAGATGGGGGTCAGTTTACATAGGCCAGGCGCAGTGATACTTACACTGGGAACATCAGAGTGTGAGTGAGTGAGTAAGGTTTTACGGCGCTTGTAGGAATATTCCAGCTATATCACGACAGGGGACACGAGAAATGGGCTTCACACATTGTACCCATAGAAATTGAACTTAAATTTTATTTTTATATTGGAAGAATGCTTAGCAACTGATGTTTTTTGTTGGTGCTGTCCGGATCATCGGCGGGTGGAAGTGAGTGGTTGTTAATGTTCACTGTTTATTGGAATGTCATAACTTGGTGTATTTACGAAATATGCGTCTTACATCATATGGTAAATATCCAAATACTGAAAAATGTATTTCACTGACGTCATGTTCTATAAACCTCTTCTCGTACGAGTGGGTCAGTATATTAAACAAGGATTGCGCATGCGTCACCAACAAGTGTCTCGATACTATGTAAATATGTCTGACGGTCAACTTCTGTATGTCACCACCGGGGTTCTGGAGAAATAACACTCTTCTTCTTCTTCTTCCTCTCCAGGCGACAGTGGGCGGGGCCAGGAGATCGGCATGAATTAGTGTACACGTGTACAGAGGCCAGCAAACGAATATCAGGAGAAAATATTTGTCAGCGCTCGACGTCGACAGAAATTTATCGTTTTGACGTTAACATACTCGCGAATAAGATGATTGTTTATGACTGCGTGTGACGTAGATTGAGGCAGGATGTGCCTCCTCTTTCTCCCTATGCCCTCTACACTTGCTTTAATGCTTCATATTTGGCGCAGTGAGTGGGTGAGTTGGGTTTAACGCCGCTTTGGATTTGGTTTTGAAGGTTGTATAACCCCTTACTGTGGCTGGCATTCCCTAGTCTCCTCCACAAGGCCGACATACGTGGACTACAACGGTGTTCGGTGTGTCCAGGGAGGCCTCCATTTGACGTCTTTATACCGTCACACCCCCTCTGTGGCCTCCATTTGACGTCTTTATACCGTCACACCCCTCTGTGGCCTCCATTTGACGTCTATATACCGTCACACCCCCTCTGTGGCCTCCATTTGACGTCTTTATACCGTCACACCCCCTCTGTGGCCTCCATTTGACGTCTATATACCGTCACACCCCCTCTGTGGTCTCCATCTGACGTCTATATACCGTCACACCCCCTCTGTGGTCTCCATCTGACGTCTATATACCGTCACACCCCTCTGTGGCCTCCATCTGACGTCTATATACCGTCACATCCCCTTTGTGGCCTCAATCTGACGTCTATATACCGTCACGCCCCCTCTGTGGCCTCAATCTGACGTCTATATACCGTCACGCCCCCTCTGTGGCCTCCATTTGACGTCTATATACCGTCACGCCCCCTCTGTGGTCTCCATCTGACGTCTATATACCGTCACACCCCCTCTGTGGTCTCCATCTGACGTCTATATACCGTCACACCCCCTCTGTGGTCTAGTGGATAGAGCGTCTGTCCGGGGTTTTCGTCATACAAAAAGACGTTAACGATGGTACTTGTTGTTACCCTGCCTAGCGTTCGGCATTGAGGGGCTAAAACAAGGACTGGTCGGCTCGGAGTCCATGTTAAACTGCGGCATGGTATCTCAGTGGGCTAGCACAATGAAATCAGCATAAGTCCTGTCTCGTACAAGCAGACACACACATCTGCGACCCGTGAAGATTCCAGGGTAGGATAGGTCTTCAGCAACCCATGCTTGCCGTTAAAGGTGACTATGCTTGTCGTAAAAGGCGACTAACGGGATCGGGTGGTCAGGCTCGCTGACTTGGTTGATGCATGTCATCGATCCCAATTGGGTGGATCGATGCTCATGATATCAATCACTGGATTGTCTTGTCCAGACTCGATTATTTACAGACCGCCGTCATATAGCTGAAATATTGCTGAATGCGGCGTTAAACAACAAACCAACCAACCAACCAACACACATCTGCATGCGCAACACGATATAAGTGCACGTCTTGAATGCGACGTTTAACCTCATGTTACCTCACCTGTATACGGCCATGGGAAGTCTCCTGTTCATGCTCTCGTGTTTTAATGTGTTGTACATCGTGAAGATGGCCCATCCCACAGAACAGACAGGTTGTAGAAGAATACTCAATGCAGTGGGTGTGGGTGACACAGCGGAAATGTCTACCCTATGTTCCGATTGTTGTCTGTTTGTTTTACTGAAGTTGACGTACGATAGCTGGGCGTACACACGCTCTGTCGGAGATAAATCACACGTGCTGCTCGTTCACTCGGGAAGTGTAGGAACTATATGTCGTGTCCGGTGACACATGCAGGTGTAGGCGCTGGGGACAGGTCCGGGGACACATGCAGGTGTACGCGCTGGGGCAGGTCCGGGGACACATGCAGGTGTAGGCGCTTGTGCAGGTCCAGTGACACATGCAGGTGTAGGCGCTGGGGACAGGTCCGGGGACACATGCAGGTGTAGGCGCTGGGGAAGGTCTGGTAGCATACATGCAGGTGTAAGCGCTGGGGAAGGTCAGGTGACACATGCAGGTGTAGGCGCTGGGGCAGGTCCGGTGACACATGCAAGTATAGGCGCTAGGGAAGGTCCGGGGACACATGCAAGTATAGGCGCTAGGGACGGTCGGGGACACATGCAGGTGTAGGCGCTGGGGCAGGTCCGGGGACACATGCAGGTGTAGGCGCTGGGGAAGGTCTGGTAGCATACATGCAGGTGTAAGCGCTGGGGAAGGTCAGGTGACACATGCAGGTGTAGGCGCTGGGGCAGGTCCGGTGACACATGCAAGTATAGGCGCTAGGGAAGGTCCGGGGACACATGCAAGTATAGGCGCTAGGGACGGTTGGGGACACATGCAAGTATAGGCGCTGGGGCAGGTCCGGGGACACATGCAGGTGTAGGCGCTGGGGCATGTCCGGGGACACATGCAGGTGTAAGCGCTGGGGCAGGTCAGGTGACACATGCAGGTGTAGGCGCTGGGGCAGGTCCGGGGACACATGCAGGTGTAGGCGCTGGGGCAGGTCAGGTGACACATGCAGGTGTAGGCGCTGGGGCAGGTCCGGGGACACATGCAGGTGTAGGCGCTGGGGCAGGTCGTGTGACACATGCAGGTGTAAGCACTGGGGCAGGTCAGGTGACACATGCAGATGTAGGCGCTGGGGCAGGTCCGGAGACACATGCAGGTGTAGGCGCTGGGGCAGGTCCGGAGACACATGCAGGTGTAGGCACTGGGGCAGGTCAGGTGACACATGCAGGTGTAAGCACTGGGGCAGGTCCGGGGACACATGCAGGTGTAGGCGCTGGGGCAGGTCCGGAGACACATGCATGTGTAGGCGCTGGGGAAGGTCCGGGGACACGTGCAGGTGTAGGCGCTGGGGAAGGTCAGGTGACACATGCAGGTGTAGGCGCTGGGGAAGGTCTGGTAGCACATGCAGGTGTAAGCGCTGAGGCAGGTCCGGGGACACATGACCCCGTCGCCAGGGGACACGAGGACTGTAGTACAGTTACTGTATTATTAACCCCTGCTGGCTATGTTAATTAAGAGTCATTGACGCATCACAGGTAGCTGCTGTCTCTGTACGTACAGCGGATTATGTCTCAGTACGTACAGCTGATTATATCTCAGAACGTACAGCTGATTGTGTCAGTACGCACAGTTGCTTATGTCGCAGTACGTACAGCTGATTGTGTCAGTACGCACAGTTGATTATGTCTCATTACGTACAGCTGATTATCTCTCAGTACGTACAGCTGATTATCTCTCAGTACGTACAACTGATTATGTCTCAGTACATGGAGATGATTTTGTCTCAGTACATGGAGATGATTATGTCTCAGTACGTACATCTGATTATCTCTCAGTACGTACAGTTGATTATCTCTCAGTACACGGAGATGATTATGTCTCAATACATGGAGATGATTATGTCTCAGTACGTACAGCTGATTATCTCTCAGTACGTACAGTTGATTATCTCTCAGTACATGGAGATGATTATGTCTCAGTACATGGAGATGATTATGTCTCAGTACGTACAGCTGATTATCTCTCAGTACGTACAGTTGATTATCTCTCAGTACATTGAGATGATTATGTCTCAGTACATGGAGATGATTATGTCTCAGTACGTACAGCTGATTATCTCTCAGTACGTACAGCTGATTATCTCTCAGTACGTACAGCTGATTATCTCTCACTACGTACAGCTGATTATGTCTCAGTACATGGAGATAATTATGTCTCAGTACATGGAGATGATTTTGTCTCAGTACATGGAGATGATTATGTCTCAGTACGTACAGCTGATTATGTCTCAGGTGCAATGACAACATAACATAATTTAGTCATCAATTTGACTCGGATACCCCGTGTCTAAGGGTACATGTCTACTGATGATACAACTGTATGTTATTGAAGGTACATTTCTCGTTATTACACTTACAACTATCTTTTATTAAGGGTACATGTCCAGTGATTGTACAACTGTCTTTTATTAAGGGTACATGTCTAGTGATGATACAACTGTCTATTATTAAGGGTACATGTCTAGTGATTGTACAACTATCTATCATTGAGGGTACATGTCTACTGATGATACAACTAACTATTATTAAGGGTACATTTCTCGTTATGACACTTACAACTGTCGTTTATTAAGGGTACATGTTTAGTGATGACACAACTGTCTATGGACAGCATCCAGTGCCGAGCGGGTGTGATTGGGTGTTGAATGCTGGAGATCGGCCTGGGAATGTCGGTGTAAACACAGAAACATCAGCAAACACGAGGGCAACTACACCATCTACTGGAGGCCCCTGACTGGAGACTGGGGCTCGGCAGGGACGATTTCTTCACCTGTTTGTGGTATACACGACACACAGCAGCAACAAGCTCATTTATCATCAATGCAGCCGTCGATACTCCACACACAGTCGCATTGATAATATAGCTTCAGAAACGTGAGAAGTTTTTTGATGCTGTAAAATTAGAAATATGCTTCTAAAATTGTTCAGCTGAGTTATATTTAGCATTATCTGAGCTCTGACTGATCGGAAGCCGTGGGAACAGGCTAAATTGAGAAGGAAACTATTCTTGAAACTCACTTTATGGATTTAGATTGTACTCTGAGTCATGAGAGAGTGGCAGTTAACACAATCTATACACTCTCCTTATTTGTCGATTGTATTTAAGTTGGTTATTAATTTACATTTGTAATTCCGACGCCCATACTTTGAATCTCGGCTTATCCACACACACTTGTTTGGTTCGGTTCCCTGCAGAGAAGGGGCGATCGGGTAGCCTAGTGGTAAAAGCGTTCGCTCGTCACACCGAAAACCCGGGTTCGATTCCCGATATGGGTACAATTTCTAGTGTCCACCGCCGTGATATTGCTGGAATATTGCTAAAAGCGGCTTAAAATCAATCTCACTCATGCACTCACCATCTACAGAGAAGGCCACACTTACATTTCCATCTCCACCACAAGTGACAGGAGTGTTCATGTTTGAGACGAATCTGCTACGGTATAAAGTACGTCAACATTTATTTTCAACACTGTTCTGTTCAAACTATGAAATAAAATGTCTCAAATAAGTGGCATTCTCCACAAACTTTATCTGGAAAATATGCGGCGTAGTTTTCAGTAGCTCTTACCTACTAGCTGCGCATCCCGAAGATGAGGACAAATGTCAGTAATCTGTGACGTTTTCCTAGACTAAAAGATAGTCCCCGACATAAAGTCATGTACCAGGTTCAATAAAGCCCCAAAGTTTCTTAGTTCAGCCCTGGAACTCAGATGTGCAGGAGAATGAAAGACGGGGAATAGTTGTATAGTACATGTAAGAATATACTCGAATTTAGATTTTCATTTCGATAGAAGAAAAAATGTCATATTTTGGAGATGTGGAACCATTGCGTTGGCAAAAATCGCACTTTAACGATGTATGCATCACGATACTGCGTGTTTCTGTGTGAGGCTAATGAAAACTCTACAGCAGCAGTAATAAGACCCCGCCATCCAGGCGTGATCATTGAGATAGACCTAGCTGGAGACCCCTCTATCCGGGCGTGACTACTGTGATGCTCCTCCAGCTGGAGACCCCTCTATCCGGGCGTGACTACTGTGATAGCCCTAGCTGGAGACCCCTCTATCCGGGCGTGACTACTGTGATAGACCTAGCTGGAGACCCCTCTATCCGGGCGTGACTACTGTGATGCGCCTCCAGCTGGAGACCCCTCTATCCGGCTGTGACTACTGTGATAGCCCTAGCTGGAGAATCCTCTATCCGGGCGTGTCTACTGTGATGGCCTCCCAGCTGGAGACCCCTCTATCCGGGCGTGACTACTCTGATGGCCTCCTAGCTGGAGAACCCTCTATCCGGGCGTGACTACTGTGATGGCCTCCCAGCTGGAGACCCCTCTATCCGGGCGTGACTACTGTGATGGCCTCCCAGCTGGAGACCCCTCTATCGGGCGTGTCTACTGTGATGGCCTTCCACCTGGAGACCCCTCTATCCAGGCGTGACTACTGTGATGGCCTCCCAGCTGGAGACCCCTCTATCCGGGCGTGTCTACTGTGATGGCCTCCCAACTGGAGACCCCTCTATCCAGGCGTGACTACTGTGATGGCCTCCCAGCTGGAGAACCCTCTATCCAGGCGTGATCACTGTGATGGCCTCCCAACTGGAGACCCCTCTATCCAGGCGTGACTACTGTGATGGCCTCCCAGCTGGAGAACCCTCTATCCGGGCGTGACTACTGTGATGCCCTCCCAGCTGGAAACCCCTCTATCCAGGCGTGATCCCTGTGATGCCCTCCCATCTTGAGACCCCTGTATCCAGGCGTGATCACTGTGATGGCCTCCCAGCTGGAGACCCTTGTATCCAGGCGTGATCACTGTGATACTCTCCCATCTTGAGACCCTTCTATCCAGGCGTGATCACTGTGATACTCTCACATCTTGCGACCCCTTTATCCAGGCGTGATCACTGTGATACTCTCCCATCTTGTGACCCTTCTATCCAGGCGTGATGTGATCACTGTGATGGTCTCCCAACTGGAGACCCCTCTATCCAGGCGTTATCACTGTGATGGCCTCCCATCTTGAGTCCCCTCTATCCAGGCGTGATCACTGTGATTCCCTCCCATCTTGAGTCCCCTCTATCCAGGCGTGATCACTGCGATACTCTCCCATCTTGAGTCCCCTCTATCCAGGCGTGATCACTGTGATGGCCTCCCAGCTGGAGACCCTCTATCCAGGCGTGATCACTGTGATGCCCTCCCATCTTGAGTCCCCTGTATCCAGGCTTGACCACTGTGATACTCTCCCATCTTGAGTCCCCTCTATCCTGGTGTGATCACTGTGATGCCCTCCCAGCTGGAGACCCTTCTATCCAGGCGTGATGACTGTGATGCCCTCCCATCTTTAGTCCCCTCTATCCTGGTGTGATCACTGTGATGCCCTCCCAGATGGAGACCCCTGTATCCAGGCGTGATCACTGTGATGCCCTCCCATCTTGAGACCCCCACATCCAGGTGTGATCACTGTGATGGCCTCCCAACTGGAGACCCCTCTATCCAGGCGTGATCACTGTGATACTCTCCAATCTTGAGACCCTTCTATCCAGGCGTGATCACTGTGATGGCCTCCCAGCTGGAGACCATTCTATCCAGGCGTGATCACTGTGATGGCCTCCCAGCTGGAGACCCCTCTATCCAGGCGTGATCACTGTGATGCCCTCCCAGCTGGCGACCCCTCTATCCAGGCTTGACCACTGTGATGGCCTCCCAGATGGAGACCCCTCTATCCAGGCGTGATCACTGTGATACCCTCCCAGCTGGAGACCCCTCCATCCAGGCGTGATCACTGTGATGCCCTCCCATCTTGAGACCCCTCTATCCAGGCGTGAGCACTGTGATGGCCTCCCAGCTGGAGACCCCTCTATCCAGGCGTGATCACTGTGATAATCTCCCATCTTGAGACCCTTCTATCCAGGCGTGATCACTGTGATTGCCTCCCAGCTGGAGACCATTCTATCCAGGCGTGATCACTGTGATGGCCTCCCAGCTGGAGACCCCTCTATCCAGGCGTGATCACTGTGGTGCCCTCCCAGCTGGAGACCCCTCTATCCAGGCTTGATCACTGTGATGGCCTCCCAGATGGAGACCCTTCTATCCAGGCGTGATCACTGTGATACCCTCCCATCTTGAGTCCTCTATCCAGGCGTGATCACTGTGATGCCCTCCCATCTTGAAACCCGTCTATCCAGGCGTGATCACTGTGATACTCTCCCATCTTGAAACCCTTCTATCCAGGCGTGATCACTGTGATGGCCTCCCATATTGATACCCTTCTATCTAGGCGTGATCACTGTGATACTCTCCTATCTTGAAACCCTTCTATCCAGGCGTGATCACTGTGATGGCCTCCCATCTTGAGACCCTTCTATCTAGGCGTGATCACTGTG